CATTTTTTTTATTTTTTTTTTCCCCCTTTAGGGGCCCTTAAAACGGGGCATTTTTGAAAAATTTTTGGGGGGAAGAGAAAACAGAAAGGAAAGAAAAAAAAGGGAGGGAACAAAGGGAAAAAAAAAAGGGGGGGGGAAAAAAAAAAAAAAAATTAAAAAAAAGGGGAAAAGGGGGAGGAGAGGAGAGAGAAAAGGGAGAAGAGGGAAGAGGAGAGAGAGAGAGAGGGGAAGGGGAAGAGAGGGGGGGAAGAGAGAGAAGAAGAGAGAGAGGGGAGGGAGAGAGAGAAGAGGGGAAAAGAAGAGGGGGAAAGATGGTGCTATTATTCCCCTAACCAATTTACTATAAGTGTGTTTTTTCACTTATTTTTTAATTTTTTCTGAATAATTTTCTGCCCCATCTCTTATGCCCAAAAAGGGTTTGTGATACGGACAGCGTTTACTCACCCGTATTGGATAAGTTTTTCCCCTTCAACGGGTCAAAAATCCCTTTTACTTGCTTCGAAGAAACAAGCAACACTAAAAAGGCATGAAGCAACTTTTCCCAATGACTATGGATCACGCTCCCGTCCGGTGAGTAAGTTTTTAACAGGTAAATTCAAAAGGGCACGGCCAGAGGATTCCCAGGGGGGTTTTACTCAAGCATGCGCTGCCCAACGGCAAGTGTCTTCACTGACATTTTCAACCTTTTTCCTGACGATTTAAATCCCAAAAGTTTCAAGCAGTCCCCCATAGCCTGGATACTCTTGACTTTTAGTAAATTTAAAATTTCAGGTCATCGTGATGGAGAAAGAAGGGGAATTTTTTCCGAATCCCCATTTACTTTTAATATCAGGAAGAATAGGTTCTGTAGAGATCATTACTTGTAGAGAAGAGGAAAGAGGAGTTCTCTTAAGACGAGTAGATCACATCCTAGTGGACAGTCAGAGAACTGCTGCTCTGGTATCTGCTGCTGAGGGAAGGCCAAGCTGAGAGATCGGGTTGTCTTGCATATCCTGCTAAACTTCCGTCGCAGAAAAATGTCTCCTTAATCAGGACATGTTACTGTATCTATATAAATTCAGTTTTCAGGTGGTCATGTCCGTATAACAGGAGCCGACGATCACAAACGTAGTATGGATTAGACGTAAAGACAGACAGGGCTGTGGTCTACAGCTTTGTATGTGACAGGGCTGTTGTTGTGAAAGGCTGGTCTACAGCCTGCTGTGTCGTGGTGGTGTGGAAATGTCCCATCCAGGACAGATGAACGTCTCACACACAAACACACCCCTCAGGATCAGGGAGAGATCTTCTCATTTCAACCACAACACACACACACCTCAGGATCAGGGAGAGATCTTCTCATTTCAACCACAACACACACACACTTCAGGATCAGGGTTAAACAAGTTAAATCAAGTGTGTAATAATAGGTCCAAGTGTAATAAACTAGGCAGTGTAATAACTAGGTCCAGTGTGATAATAGGGCCAGTGTTATAACTAGGGCCAGTGTAATAACTCGGGCCAGTGTAATAACTAGGGCCAGTGTAATAACCAGGGCCAGTGTT